AAACGACTGATTGAATACCACAGGCCGCTGTTTAATATTGCACGCCGGGTGTAATATCGGTATCGAACGCCGAGCGGATTTGCTACCCCTTTAGCGAAGACGTCCCATCGGGGCATTAGCTAGACATTAGCATTATTACAAACTTGTGTGCTAACGAAGACCTCTGAACCCTGACGGGTTGTAACTAACAACGATCTTAAAGTTCGTTGTTGATGGAAGCTGCTTTTGCTTAGCGCACCTAACAACAAACACTAAGAGGCCAGAGGTGGCGAGCTGCAGGGGTCGATGGTATTGTTGTCGTTTCAATTTCAATGCGCGCCAATTAGTTTCTGATTTATGAATATTGTTTTCGAATGGAATTGCTCTGCACCGTTGCAGCGGTCGCATGCATTTTACGAAAATTTCATTTGGGGCTTTGCTGCCGTGATGTTGGTAAAGAATAAGCTGGTTTGTGTATGATTTATGCGGAATTTCGGGTAGGGTTAAGCAACGGCAGTGAATTGAAATTTTCAGCTTTTCGGCTCGAGAAGGCAAGCACGGCGACGGCTGTGGCGGAAAGAGCAAGGGGTGAGACGCCCAACCGCCAATATGTACATGTTTAGGCTACATTAATGTCGCCGCGTTGACTCCGCGCAGCCAGAGGTATCATTAAGACGAATGGCGTGTAACCGAAAATCACGAACGTATAATGCCTGAATATTTAACGTACCACGGGTAACGATCTCCCAGCACGACTACCGAACCAATGTCGACATTGATATCCCAAAAATAAATCATTAAACAATAAAATATTACAAAAAAACTAATTTTTATAAATTTATCTAGTTCATCAGTGCATAAAAGTGTTGTTTAAACATTTTATTAAATTAAAAATTACCCTGCGTGTCTAAAATTACAATTTTATGCACGTAATATACAATTTTCTATTCTATTTCATTCGCAGCGGTATTTTTTGGTTGATAAGTAGTGGTTGAGGTGAAGTACCTACCGCTGGAATAACCATCAATTTACCGGAAGCATTTTGGTGTGTTTGGAAAGAAAGAAAACCAGAAACGAATCCTCTCATGTCGAGGGCATGTTTTCACCAGCGCGACCCGTATTGTTGTTAAACAACTTCTCGAAAAGTACACACGATCGCAACCAGAAATCTTTCGCACGCACGTGCCGTATGCAAATACGATTTTATTCCGGGCGCATTACGTTTATATCGCCGCAATCATCCGACATCGTCGACGCTCATTAACCGCGAACAAATTATATGCTCACCTGCATCGCTGACCAGGTATGAAAACGCACACGAATCAAAAAATCAGCGCAGCGCGTGTATACAAAGTGTTGAAAGGTATATGTTTATTGACATATGAAAACTTTTCTAATTACAACTTTCGCTGCTTGCTTCGGCTGTTCGGCTATATTTGTGAGTACTTAGCTGTGTCTCGTGTGAGGTGCAGAAGGTGGCGGCGCCAAGGGTGTTTGTCGATCGAGGACGGGTTTTTCGTGTCGACGCGCGCCCGCGCTAATCGCTTTGAAACCGCACGGGACGGGTGTTTATTTTGCGAGCGTACTTGGCGCAACAAACACCGCGCTATGTCATAAATCAAAGCGCACTTTACGAGGTATAAGTGCGCACTTCGGCGTAACAAGTAAGGAGAGCACAACCGCCAAACAACATGTATCGCGTTCACTTTGTGTGCGAGCGTTTAACACTGTAATTGCCCTAAAAACAATTTGCATTCAACTAGACATCAAGTGTAAATAAATCACTAGTCGTCGAAACCGGAAACTAGCAGAAAAATAACGAAATACATTAAAATAAAAACAAACAATTTAAAAAGTCTGATTTATAATGAGGATTTTATCCAGAGTTTTAATGATAGTCAAGTTATTCTTGTAGGAAGTGAGTAAATAAGAAAACTACCGGTGAAATAAGGACTGCTTGCGACAAAACCCCAACAAGTTAGAAATTAAATATTCGAAATGACGTCTGGAAAATGCGGAGGCTTTAATAAAGAGAGTGCTCAAAGATGCGCGCCTGTTTTGCAGAATGCAGCACCGACTAAATATCCGAGGCATAATGTTAATTAAATTCGTTCTTGCATAAACCCGCATGTTATTATAAAAGGCTTACAGTTGTTGTTTGACTGCAGAATGCAGACGGAACACTTTTTGCGCAACACTTCTGTAGATTTATATTTTTTCGTGGAAAACTATGTCAGAGATTTGTGTATAAATAACAATGCGTACATGTTTTACAATGGTATCAAAAGAGGCTTCTAGTTTACCCAAAAATAATATTGAAATCACCCCACTTTGACATTTAAAGATATAAAATGTAAATGTGTACATACACGATAAAATTTATACGATAATATTCATAATGTCAGTGTTAATGTGCGATAATGTGACATAATTGAAAAAATAACGCATTTCCTTCCTGTGGAACGCAGCGACATGCAACCGCATTATGAGTTGTGATAAGTCGTTCATTACGCAATATCAGAAAACAAAAAAATTAAATTTAGCATTTTTTCTTTTCTTTTTAAACGTGTAAGCATTTTATTTTATGTTTTGAATAAACATTTAGACACATTCGTTCGTGCATCTCTTCATCCCGTCACAGTTCACGTCTCTTAGCTTTCGCAGCACACAAAAAAGAACGAAAATAAAGCAGAAACATTTTACTATCTGTACGTGCCAGCGTCCTCTTTTTTGTTCTGCTGTTTTTAATACATATTACGTTTGTTTTTCGGGCTGAAATTTAGCTGGGGAAAAAAACTTGAAGAGCAAATAAAGCGTTGAAACCAGAGGACCTTTTTTTACATCAGCGAAGGGTAAAGTAATTATAATTACTCATAATTTGATATAAGTCAAGACCCTAGCGTCGCGAAGAGTTAAATGTGTTTCATAGTACCGAGAGAGGTAAAAATCTTAGTCGTAATCTTAATTTTAGTTTCAAGTAGAAAAAATAGAAAAAAAATATTTTTTTCTTTAAACTCCTAAAGTTATGGTTAAAATCTTTAAATTTTCGCTTTGTGCGAATCCTTTTAAGTCAGGGTTTCATAACGAGGGTTTCCCGGTTGAATGTAATCTTACTCCCGCACTCGTTGTAAAAAAAGCGAGTGCAGGCCATATTGCTCGACGACATTGTCGCCGTCTCGCAGCTCGTTATCATTATTCCACGTTGGCGTGATGTGTTAATATTATTGTCGCCGGTCCGTGCTGCGCTGAGCAATTGCTTTGATCTTGATAAGATTTATTTTTATAAATTGATGCTATAATTCTATGCACCGCGCTACTCGACTCATTGCACCGCTACAATATGAACTCATTGTATGACTTCTAACAATATAATAATATATTTTACGATTCTTTGCGTTCCGCTCACATTTGTGTTGTTTTATTTCTACTTCCATTTCTCATAGTGGTATTAAATTTGTAAGAATAAAAAAAGCATATTGTTTAGTTTGTACCAATGTGTGTTTTGTTTTTATTTTGCGTCCGTTTGTTCATTTTTTTTGAATGAAGTGCAATTTGCTTCCTTGTTACTAATGGGCGATGAAATGGTGAAAACCACCCCCGCGTGTGTATTTTTATAATAACTTCAAGGGGTGGCTTGCGCTATAGTCGACGATCGCGCATCGTTTACACGGCGAATGCATACACAGTTTGTGCGATGCGACATCAAGGGGTGGAAAAAATCGGGCTCGCTTCGTTGGATCCTCTCTCGGCGGCGCTTTTGCGGCGGAGTGAATTATTCCGTGACATTTACATTATGGATTACGCCTGCACGGCACGATGAAAAGGTCAATAAAATTCCCATTAATGAAAAATTAATTTGCGTTTTTTTTTGCTCCCTGCGAAGCGATACGCTCGGATAAGACGGGAGGAATTCACCGGATAAGATAAATTGCAGCTGTTGCAGGACATGCAGCCGCGCAAATTGAAAAATTTAATATAGTCAATCTCCGAGATTATTTTCATACTCCGAAAATTAATTTATACAAAAATATGGAATTCACAAATTTATCATACCGCACTTTGTATGTTTTTTTTTTTTATAAATATTTATTAATTGTATTGAATGACTCAGAACATTTTTGATTGATTTAATACGCTCGAGGTATTCAAGTGCGATCATTAACGGCGCGCGCTTTAATGACGCCTGACGAACAAAACAACACCGAAACCACGGGAAAACAAAACTGCATGAAACAAAAATTTCCGGTTCGCCAAGAAATAAAAGTAATTTGTGGCAGGCGAAGACAAAAAACGAGTTGAAGTATTTACATATAGCCAATTAATATGAAATCAGGCACACTGCGTTAATTAAGATTATTATCGCGCGTCTTTGTGTTTGCTGCGGCGTGTTTGCAGTGCGGAAAACGAGGTAAGGCTTGAGCAGCGCGCTTAAACTCCAACGCACTAAATTACTTGCTGATTAAGAAGTTTTATTTTCTGTGAAATTATGAAGCATAGTCATCTTATAGGTTTTTTGAGCTTAATTTGTTCATCGAGTATTTTTTACATGATTTATTACAATATTTACAGTGCGTTACTGAAAAATTAAGTTTTTTATGTAAACATTATGCATATTTCAAGCATGATACACTTTGTATTTTGATTAACAATCTTAACGAACGTTTTATAAGCGATTTTAGTTCGGAAAAGTTTGTTCTAAATACAAATACTTTAAACTTTGTTAACGCCGATATAAAATGCAGCAAAGAAAAAGAATTTCAATCGATAAAATGTTTTTAAATTTACTAAATTTCTTTTAAAGTAAAATATTAAGCGTTAATCAGTTATTATACTAATTATATGATTAGAAATACTCAAATCACTGCACTTTTTAGTTGACCAGTAATATGAGGGTGCATTAGAAGGGATGCGGTTTATATGCCATACAATACACACTAGAGGGTGCGCAGGCGTTCGATTCACTTTTGCCGGCCGGCGCCGTACTCCGCGCGTCGCGACGCCACCACAGTCAGTCGGCATGCGGTAGCCGCGCAATAACTACCCCTCGAGTAGACGCCGTCCACATGGCGAACAACCGCGAGCGTTACGTGTGCGTGGTGATCATAACAGTGCTATCGTTGTTCACAACTGCTGCTGATTTTCTAGGTGCGTAGAAAAACAATTCATTTTATTAACCAAATCTATTTTTAAAATTGTGGTGAAACCCAAATGTGCAAATGTAAAAAAAGGCGGAATGAAAAAGTGGCGCGCTTCGTACATAAATTTGCTAAATTATAGACCTCGCGAGGCTCGCAAAGTCTCGAAAAGTTTCACACCGCGCGCGGCGTACAAAAGGCGCACAAAAATCTGATATTAAACGTGTAATTTGCACTTCGCCAACACTTGGAACGCATATTTAACACGATACAATTGCATGTCAGCTCGTAAATAATTGAAATCAAGAAACAATTTCTCAAAACAATAAAAACATTGAAATTATTCATTTCTTGTGTGAACCACTCTCATGATTACCTCTGAAGGAATTGTTTTTGCCATTGAGGTTTGATTTCGACGTTTAATATTGAATAATATAAAAAACACATTTGTTGCTTGTGTTGAGGTTCTTTCAAAAAAACAACAAACATGTGCTCAAGCGGAGAGGGCTTTTAGCATGAATATTTTATGCAACGAACAGCGGATGAAATAAAGTTGCACTCTCGCAGTATTATCAGATTATAAGGTTTATCGAAGCGCGTATACATTCATGGAACGTGTGGCGATATTTGCTCGAAAACGATTTTATTTGTTTGACACCGAGTATCGGCTGCGATATGTAAGGTACCCGAATGCGAAACTTTTCGAATCGAACGTTTTAGGCACGAGCAGCAAACAAGTCTTTGCAAAGTTTCAACAGATGTACAAGTCGACGGAAACGCGAATGCAATTTTATTGGATAACTTGTGACAAATATAATGTAAAACATTTTGAAAGTTTTTATTATCTTCCTATTGTTATTTTAGGCCATGTAAAATAAGCGATTGGAAGCTATTTCAAATATTTACGTGTCAAAACTATTTATAACACTATCGGATTATTAGTTTGGACGATGTTCGTTGACAAAAACGTCAAAACAAAAATTTTGATGAAAGTAAGCGGCGTGAATTCAATTTTTAATGGATTTTAATGAGCTATATACCCATCAATAACTCGGACGCATCCACTCATCCAACTTTCTATCTCGTGTCATGTTCACGTCCGCTGATGTAAATAACGAACTCGTATCATGGAGGCGAATAAATGCCGATGACAAGCGAACAAAACCATTGATAACAACAATGTGAAAACTCTCGAAAACTGCAGTTGCATACAGATAGTCATTCATGAGGATTATTTTGTGCAAAAGTGAAACAATTGAAATATTGGCTATTTTGTAATGTTGCTGCTGCACTATGAGACTTCAAAATTTTTAATAGCAGTAGATAAATGCACAGGGAGATGCAAGTGACGGGAGCAACCCCCTTGTTTTGTGTGCGTTGGTTGCGGTCGTCACTGACATCCCTGTCAGTGGGAGATATCTAACAATCTCGTGATGACAAGCGCATCGCGTCTACTAAAACCCAAAATTTAAAAAATGATCATTTGTGAGTCATAGATTGAAATATGATCTTAGCACATCGCCACGCAGATTAAATATACAATTAGCAACCACCCTTCCTACCAGATTTAAGACTGAAAGCTTTGATTCCGTACTGTTCTGTATCCATAGTGATAAGCTCACAATAGTGAATGATATCATACGTTTTGTCTTCAAGGGAGGTAGAAAAAAGGGTAAATCACTAAATAAAAAGACAAAAACACGAAATATGCCGTCGAGGAAGAAAAATTTGGAATCAAACAGAACGAGCTAATATACAAGAAAATATTTGCTTAGGAATGACGGAATATCAACAGATTCCGTTGGCTGCGGGCCTCGGATCCTGTCGGGAATGCGAGATGAATGTTGAGCGTCGCCAAAACGTCAAAAAGAAAAGAAAAAAGACGCGCAGGAAACTTTTATCATTCCGCACACGTGACGTACAAATGTTGTTCCTGCTTCGTAAATCGCGACGCGCTAAATTTAATCCGATTTTCGTCATAATTCATTCAACATATGTGAGAAAATATATTCCTCAAGTATAATATTAAATAATAATCAATTTTATGCGGTTTTACTATCGGAAATCAACATAAATATTTCAAACTTGATACCAAACTCTATAAAACATTCAAATGTTAATTTTGGCTCCGTTTTATTTCTCAATTAACTGAAGTGTCGCTTTACCCTTTTAACCCTTTTAATTCAAGTCAATGATACATTTAAAATGTAATTAATTGCGTGTCGTTTATAACACTTTACATCCATGTTTAAACATTCAACAATAAAAAAACTTTTTGTTGTTTTTTTTTTCGGTTGTTTTTTGCATTACATTTGTAATTTATCCCTCGACTGCGTGTGTTTTCGGTGCGGTAGGTAGCGTAAAACATTGATTTGTAATTATCGTCGTGCGACTTAAGTTAACTTCTATTTTTACAACGCCAAATGGTCGAGCGTTTCGCATCCAGGCGCAGGGCTGTTATAATCACATTATACGAATGTCTAAACATGAGAACACTCAATTAGCGCACGACGTTATGTATATTTCAGTGCATTAAGCGCATGAATTTCGCCACGCCGCATCGAAATTATAAGCGGCAAGCCAAACACGCGCGTTCGTCATATGCTTACGCTCGAGCTAACCTTAAAGACCGCTACCCCTACGAGCAGCAGGACAAATTTATGGACAAACACACACGGTTTATAGAAATTATATGAGGAAAGTTAAAATGGTGTTGACTTTGCAGCGTGTTCCATGTTTATTTTACTTAACGCCAACAGAAAAAAAACTAATGTATTTTTTTCGTTTAATAGATTTTTTTTCTATCACACACTGTATGATAATGTAATGCGTTATATCGTGTGTGTGGAAATCTAAGAAATGCCAAGAAATCAATGCATTGCAGCGTGAGTCTTGCCTAATCCACTTCCTTCGTCTGCTAATGCAATTGTTGCAATAGTAACGATCAGGACGTGTACATTGAAGCCGTCAGCGTTGCCCTAACCACCCCTCGGCTGTTCGCGTTCCCGTTATGTTTCTTATTACATTTTCGTCGTCAGTTTCTTGTTTCAACGTTACATGAGTTCGAAACCTGCCAAGCTTGCATGTCAGCTTTTTGATGGGATATAATGGATCAAGCCAAAACAAATAATACACTAATAAAACAAGACATTGTCTTGCATGCAGCCCTGAAGGCATCACGTACAATCACAACTGGAACATTATACGCTAAATAGAAAAATGCTTCAATATAAAGCTCTTAATATAGCTGCAGGATGATTAAAGTCTTAACAAGTCCACTAAAATTAAGGGTTAATATGTTTTCGCTGGTGTTTGGTGGCAGTCGCGATAGCGCAGATACATATTTTAGTCCTAGCCGGCTCGAGGGTGCGAAAGCAGTTTATTGCTTCTTCGTCGTTTAATTAAATTGTATTTATTTGTGCGCGCTCCCCTCTTGGGAGCGTTCCGGAACGTTTTTGGCCCGTCGGCGCTGCCATCGCGGAATGCATTTTAATTGCGACGATATACGTGTAGCGTATATCTACAGTATTGTAACGATCCCACGCCCATGCATTTTATATATTCGTGTCGACATTTCTTCGGCGGCGCAGGCGATGGCTGTGTTTTTATGGATTCTGTGTATACCATGCGCACGTTTATAGGTTTTAAAAATTCAGCCAACACCCCGTGCGCCACGCAATCGTAAAAACTGCCGTAATTATAGGTCGCGGTTAATAAATCAATTTTTTATGCCGATGTGTCTATTCCTTTGTGGTTATATTCCGCCGCTGGTATAAAGGTGTGGAACTGTAAGGACAAAGTAGGTAATATAAGAAACGGAAAACCACGGCTCTATGAATAAATCTGGTCGGTCTGTATTAAATCGTAAAAAGGTTTTATTTTTTATAGTTTTTATTGTTTTATCGATATGATACCATTATTATTATAAGCATTGCTTGCTTTTTTAGTTGTACAGATAATCCTTGATAATTTAAATTTCCAATCAAGCATTTTATTTCAATTACATTTGATTATTACCATCTCATTGTTTTGAAATCAATGCAATTAACAAATGTGCTTGTTATTGAAAAGATGTGCGATGGAGTACTGGAGTGTTCAGGAGAAAAATCAAATTGCACTCACGAATCAACGGTGCGATTCTATGCATATCTACGGGCTTTTCATCGAATTCTCATTTATGTCAATCGCAGAATCATTGTACTCGTTGATATATAGAAATATGCTAACAAAGTTTAAAAGTCACTTTATTTATATAAATTTTATATGTAAATGAAGACAATATAACGTTATAATGATGTTGTAAAATGCCAAGACCTTTGAGCGTTGTTATTCAGAAGCTACTCTCATTAACTAATATAATACAGACTTAAATCTAACTTAAAATTAATCACATATTAATATTATTTGTGTTTATGTATATTGATGTTTGATTGCATTGCGTCCATTACAAATTTCATCCAATTTCCGAAAATGGACATTCGCGTAATTATGCAATATACCTAACTTCAGCATTTACATTTTAATTGACATATTACGATCGGACAGAAACTGGTCCAATGCGTATATTAAAATTTAATAGAAATGCAAGTACAACTTCATCATTACCACTTGTGACCGAGTTTAATATTCAATAGACACCAATGCCGATCGCGTCAAAATAGGAGCGAGTCATTTTAACTAGGCAATAATCATTAATTGAAAAGACAATTCCTTAATAACCATACAACAATGTGTCCATCATCATTAAGCTACATTTGCATTTAACGGCAAACGAAACATAAACAAAAAATCAAAACAATGTATTAAAGACCAACATAAATATTTAATTAAGGACACTACTTACTATAAATAATTAATTTATTAAAACACATGTAGATCGTGGGTTTTATTATGTTAATCATGTCGAAAGCCTGGCGGGGAAATCATTATCATCATGTTTTGTGTGGGTAGTGAAAAAATAAAGTCAATTATAAAATAATTAAGGATAATGCGCTCCTCAATTTTAATGTA